TGTTGAGTAAAATTGATACTATTCTATCCTAAATCTACCATGAAAGAGCTCATCACCAGCTGTGCTACAATTTAATCCAAGAACAATACTCATTATGTATTGTACAGAAGAAAAACACCTTGTCAACATGTGTTTTATCTAATTAATCACATGTTTTTATATTTATAAAAATTTTCATTGATTACTAAAAAAACTTTGTTAAGTTACCATATTTTGAAGATTATAAAGATTTAAACCATAGTAAGTTAAATATGATGATAAATATATTCTTGCTTTTTTGATTTTTAGTTAGTATTATATTTATGAAATTAGTTTGTGATATCAAAAGATGGCGCTGCATGTCGTTAAAATCTGTGAATGATTGGTACATAATATGTCATTTATACCTAGTGGAACGACCTTGAGTTTTCTCTTGCAGTTGCTATCAATGAAGGACTACAGCACCGGTAGGAGTAATAGTGTTCTGTGACGGCAGTGCTGTGCATTTCAGGTTCTGTGCAATATTGGACGAGAATCTTACCCCAAACGCTTTCTAGCCGTGTTGGATTAGTCGATGCACCTCTTGTACGTAGTTGGACAAGGCCATACTGCAGCTATATTATAGTTGTATCACGAATGGATCAGCTCGATCGGGGAAGGATCACTTTCACAAAATACCAGCGTTAATACTGCTGTGTCATATGGTGAGTATAGAGAAACAGAGACCCTTTTAACTGGATACAAGTTATTCCATCCTATCCTCAAGGGTGCCAATGCATCTGCATTTAGATTTGTAAGTTGTAACTGAGGATAGATGTCTATGGGCCACAGTTTTATATGTGGTTGAGCCACGCTGCAGTAACATTATACTTGTAGCATGAATGGATCAGCTTGATCGGGGGAGGATCACTTTCACAGAATACCAGCGTTAATACTGCAGTTTCGTATGGTGAGTATAGAGAAACAGAGACCCTTTTGACTGGATATGAGTTGTTCCATCCTAGTCCTCAAGGGTGACAACACATCTGCATTTAGATTTGTAACTGAGGATAGATGTAGATGTCTATGGGCCACAGTTATACATGTGTTTGAGCCACGCTGCAGTAACATTATAGTTGTAGTACGAATGGGTCAGCTAGACCGGGGCAGGACCATGCTCACAGAATACCAGCGTAAAATAGCTCAATGCTGCTGTGTATCATATGGTGACTGAAGAGAATCGGAGACCCTTTTTATTGGAATCGAGGCATTCCATCTTAGTCCTCAGGGGTGACAACGCATAATCATTTTGATCCTTAATTAAGGATAAATATGGATATCTATGGTGTGCTTGTTTATCACCCAATGTTATAAAAAAAAAACAAAAGCATCCACTTACCATCACTTGCTCGTTTGTGACCCTTATAAAAACAAAATCATTTGTATGAAGAAAATTATTATTGTTTATATGTTGGTACGACCCTCTTACGTTTTTCGGCCATAGTGTTCGGTTTAAACGGTAGGATAATAATTATATAAGATGAGGACCAGTATACTGAAGTAATGTTATTTATCTTTATTGGTGTTGTATAATATCTGTTACACACATTCATTTATTATAAATCTAATGTACAAGAAATGATCAAAGCATTAAATGAACTGCTGCTACTTAAAATTGTACTGAAGTTGTAGGTACTTTTATTTTTTTTGTCACAAGGCATTGGTCTAGACCTAGAGCGTCACCGCACAGAAAGCATTGTTATTACCTAAACTTCTGATAAAAATGTGTATTATTATGGAAAAATGCATGTTTACTAGTCAATCCAAATAGAAATGAATATTTCCAAATGCACTTAATACATTTAGATTTAATTTATTGAATTCAAAATGGAAAAAAGTGAATAGGCTAATATTTCGGAAAGTTAAACGATCCTTTTGTTTTCCTTACGCAATGTTTTTTTCTCAAATACCTAACTTAAAATAAAAGGAAATTTTGTTAATTATTAAAAAAGACAAACAGCATTTCAGTCACTTAAGTGCAAGTACCATAAAATTATAACTGATTTATGCAAAAAACCTAAGGCACCAAAAATCCTTCCACTTCAATGACAATGGCTGTGAGGAATTTTATCTTACTCGTTAGGGGCGATAACGCTGCTGTGGCTTGCTTTCATTGTTTGAATTTTGAAATTGATTGCAGGTGTGCATAATCTGCAGTAGACAATGAGGGCTAATAATCTTCGGTTCACCAGATGTCGCTGGTTTACACCGTTGTTTTTTGTTACAGAATACAATTTAACTGACAAGTTAGTTTTAAATATAACTTTATCAGATTCTATCTTCGATCAACAATACCAACTAGATAACGGGTCACGTACAAAATCATAGCTAAATACTGTCCGCATGAATATAAAAATACGAATAAACTATGAAGACATAAATAAAATAACATCTAGTGTGAAATCAACCTTAAGTTATAACAAAGTTCTTTTTCCCGTTATTGCCTTGTGAGCAACACTCACGTGCAAGAGCTCACGTCTCATGTGCGCTCTTATTTACGTAGATGGATTTCTTGCGCCAACCCGACATCTAGGTAGTGGTATTGTTGATCGAAGGTTTCTAGAGTATGATATCAATACACAAAATAACACCTCAGTGGTTTGTTCTTTTATTTTTTTGCACACTTAAAATCTTTTTAATTGTTTTACTTGTAAGAATATCTGGTTTGTTTTATTTATTTTTAATCTCATCTATATAAAATATAACTAATAGTACAGAAATAAACATTAACCTTTAAATTTTTAGAACAAATAAACTTTCCTGCTATGATATCTGTCAAATATTACACTACATGTTTAAGTAGCGCCGCCCGTGGCAGGAAAAGTGAATGCCATAAATTAATGTAAATTAACGCTGGCCGCATAACGTTTTACGTATTCGATTTCCGAATTCGTTTTCCGCATTCGGACACCCGAATGCATGGAATCAGTAGAAAATATATTAAGGGTACACTAGGCGCTTATTCTTCCATACAAACGTAGTCCGGCGATTACTCCACTGTTTGATGGTGTACGTTCAAAATAAAAAATGATTTCAATTTGTCTCATCATTATCTAGCCCTGTATGGAAACAAAAGAGTAAAAAAGAGTATGTTTAGAAGTTATAAGCGTCGAAAATTCCGAATTTCAACACTAGTTTTAACACATCTTTGGGCAGATATAAATACCATAAGAAGAACGAAAATTGCAAAACAGTTACCATACAGGGATAGATTAGTTGTTCAAAAATGCAAATAATTTTATTTTAAACAGATAAATTCAATAGATTTTTCGTGACATCCAGACTACCAAAGGTCTGTTTATAAAATTTCGCGCGCCTGTTTTTGTTATAAAACATCTTACAAATTGTTTCCCCGATTGCGCCCTCCTTTCTGCCAAGGAGGGTCGCGTTCGTATACGGCTTAGAGATCTCTAGTTAGATCGTTAAGCCAGTTCCTAAAAGGTTGGGTTTAGTGGGTAAAAGTCACCACATAACCACGCAGCCGGCTGCGTGGTATGCTATGAGCATTCCCAACCTCCCTCCCCCCTTTCCGGAGGGTTGCCCATATTTGCTTCGGTCGCAAAAAAAGTTTCCCCGATCAGTGGGACGGACTGAGGGGGGGGGGGGCGCGCAGCGCGAACTCACACATAAGTATCTGATACACGGTTTGAAACGATGGTTTGAAACCAAGGTGACCTTGGTAGAAAGCGAGTTGCGCTTTGCGGCTGCATAGTTTCAAACCATCAGTGTGGAAAGAACGTTGCGCGGACAGGACGTCTCTACGCTAGCACCGTACAACGAGACGTCATGGTGCCTTACCTATCTACACAACAAAAAGTTGGGGTGGGTCTTGCTTGAAAAAGAAAAAGAAAAAAATGAATACGGATGAAAAGATGGTTAAAGGAGAGATTAACCCTTAGTCATATGAACTTAATGAACCTACTGGACTTTGATGACATACATAACTTTCTAAGAATGGATAAAGAAAGTTTTTACGAATTATTGTCCAAGGTGAGGCCATTTATAACTAAAAAAGACACAAACATGAGACCAGCAATATCTGCTGAAGAAAGGCTTTTAGCCACACTAAGATTTCTAGCCACTAGAAGAGACTATAAGGATTTGAGATATAGCTCGATAATATCACATCAACTACTATCAAAAATCATTCCTGAAACTTGCTGGGCAATCTATAAGGTTTAAAAAAAAACAATCAATGTAAGTAATCTGTAATATTTATTTGTGTTTTCTAAAAATTAACAATTCTTTCAAAACTCCTTCCGCCGGATCCTCTGCATACAACACTGTATTCTCAATTATGTTGACAACTTCTGTGAAGATGGTGTAGAATTTGAATGTGTAATTTGTGAGAAATTTGGAAATATTTGGTAAGAATGAGATGTAGCAGGTGATAGATGTTGTGTATGAAAGGAAGGAGAAAGTGGGTGATTGAATGGGATTAGGACAATTTGGGGATGGTGAATTCAGTGATTGAGAGATTAGGTAAGAATGAGGTGAATCAGGTGATGGACGTTGTGTATGAGAGGAAGGAGAAGTGGGTGATTGTATGGTACGATTTGGGGATGATGAATTCACTGGTTGAGAGATTAGGTAAGAATGAGATGAAGCAGTTGACGGAGAATATTGTGCAAGAGAGGATGGAGAAGGAGTTGATTCAGTTTGGATATACTGATTGCCGTTAGAGGAAATCGAAGGAGGTGGTGAGTGTACGAAGTACGATTGAACAGAGTTATGTGAAGAATAGTGATTTGTTCTTGATGGAATTTCTATTCTTGTGTCAAAGGTCAAATTATTAGTCTTAGCAAGAAAAATGACCTCTGAAATTAGTTTCTCAGCGAGATCTCGCTGCTGACCAACGGGTATTTCTTCCATTTTCTTGCCCACAAATACTACGAATGCATTAGTTTCCTTTCTGTTCGTTAATAAATCATTTTCTGCATCTATTAGTTTTTCTTTTTTAATTTCGATGTTGCGTTCTCTTGTCAGCTTTTTTGATTCGTCCGGCCTATCTGTTGTTCCTGAAACAAAAATACAGTAGATTTTATATGATATAATATAATTTATATTTTACTTCATTACAGCTGCCGTCAACTGAAGAATAATGGAAAATGTCTGCGAAGTTATTCGAAACACAATGGCACTTCAATAATTGTGTCGGTTGTATGGACGGCAAACATATTTTAATACAAAAACCGTCTGAAAGTGGATCTCTTTTCTTCAACTATAAGGGCACATTTAGTGTAGTTTTATTCGCCATCGTAAATGCCAATTAAGAATTTATTTATATCCATTCAGGTTCAAACGGGAGCCAGTCTGATGGTGGCATATTCAAAGAGATATCATTTTATGCAAAGCTTACTAACAACCAATTGCATTTACCTGAACTCTACTTGTTACCAGGAACAGATATATCTGTACCATATCTTTTTTTGGGTGATAGTGCTTTTGCACTTGAAAAACATGTTATGAAACCATTTCCTGAACGGAACATTTCAAGGGAGCAAACCATATTCAACTACAGACTATGCAGAGCTAGGAGAATTGTAGAAAACGCTTTCGGCATCCTTGCGTCTCGTTTTCGAGTTTTTAGACAACCGCTAAATTTAAGTCTCGAAAATATAGATGCGGTTGTGTTGGCAAGTTGTGCTTTACACAATTTTAAAAACATATTTGACTCCTACGTGTGTTGATAAAGAAGACTTAGAGAGAGGTACTCTTAGTAATGGAATTTGGCGTCAAGAAACAAACCAACTAACATCTCTGCAAAGAACCATTCAGAGGCCTTCGACAGATGGGAAGAACATCAGAAATACTCTCACTCAGTATTTCAATGGTGCCGGTAGCGTCACTTTTCAAGATAGAATGATAAATTTTGTTAGTACCTAGTTGAAATAATTAGTAATTACATAAGCCAGATGCACCAAATTGTATAACATCATTATACTTAGTTTATATTAAAATGAAATCTCTGTTTTGAAAGTAATTAGATATTCTAGTATTTATTGAACCCATATTTACTCGAGGTTATCAAATAATTACTTACCATAAGTCCATATTTCCTAAAGAATATTAATTATGTGTTACTGGCAATCTGTATAATTTAGGTATGTATACTACACGCCTTTTACACACATTGCCAATTACGCAGTTGGTATTGTATAGAATACCTAGGCGTGATTGGCCCGATACGCCATTGGACTAAATTACAAATTCACGAAGCCCAAAATACAATGTTTTTGAATGAAATAAAACTCATAAACTACCTCATCAATCGCGAATTGGGCCAATCGCGAATTTGTGAATTAGTTCAATGGCGAATTGGGTCAATCGCGCCAAAACGTAAAATGAATAATAATTCATACATTACCTAAACGGTTTTGGGAGGTAGGTATTGTATAAAATACTGAATTATAGAGATTGCCGGTAACATAATTATACAAATACAACTTACGTCTTCCTCGTCACCCATGAGTGAATCGATTCCCTTTCTTTTCACATCATTTTTTTTCTCCAAGAATGTCAATAACTCGTAATACCATAAACTGGGCTTATGAACGTCACTGGTGGACGATCCAGTGCGGTTTTTTGATTCTTTGACCTGAAAAGCGTAAAAAATAAAGTGAGTCGGTAAACTACATAACGAGGAAACAAGTAGTAGGTAGGTATGTTCTAATCACAGGGTAATCTGTGGTTCCAATGAAGAATTATATTGAAGAATTCATAAAGAAGAATTATGGCAATCAGTAAATATTTTCATATAAATAAGAATTTTAATTCTGGTTTTACGTTAGGTAACTATTGAAAACGGAAAATAGAAAAATAAGTAGGTAGAGGTACAATAATATGTACCTAATATTTCACTACATTTTTATTCAAAACTGATAGGAATTTCTATTTTAATTAACTTATAGTTAAGTTACTTACCTTCTTGGATTCCCGTATATAAGAAATTCTAAGATTTTCTCTTTTTTTTTTGCAGACGTGGCGTTGGCCGATGTGTCAATTTCTTTCAATTTTGTGGCTAAAATATCCCACGCATTTTTTTTCTGAGTAGAATCTTTGTATGTTTCACATGTTAAGTCCCAAAGACAAGGCAAGTCTCTATACAGTTCCAGGAGTTCCGTGATCACTTCACGTTCTCTTTGCTCTTGTGCCATTTTGTGCGCGAAACTTCGTCACGTGCGTCTGCGCTCGCCGCTGCAGCGTGACTGTCGTTCACGTGGTTTCAAACCAACGCTTTTGCCAGTGGTTTGAAACGCAAGCTTTGCTACCCAGGACATTTGGAGGTCAAACGAAATTTGGTTTGAAACCACTATCTACACGGTTTGAAATCTCTGTTTCAAACCATCGTTTCAAACCGTGTATCACATACTATACTCACTAGGTTAGCCGCTGCTATCTATTTATGGTTGTAATACCTACATATCTACATCTTTATTAAGAAAAATTGCTTCCTTTTGTTCGTGACTATTGCTGAAGCCGGGATGAATAAAGCTGCTAAAATGTGCCCATAAGTTTGTTGAAGCACATTTAGTTAAAATTGAAAACAGGTAGGTACATAATAATGAACTTTCGATACAGGTACTACATTAGGTACTTCATCATCATCATCATTACAACCCTTCACAAGTCCACTGCTGAACATAGGCCTCCCTCAAGTAATGCCACAAAGCACGGTCCTGAGCTACCTGCATCCATCGACTTCCTGCATGTCTTACCAGGTCGTCACTCCATCTAGTGGGGGGTCGCCCTACACTACGCCTACCGGTACGAGGCTGCCACTCGAGAACCTTTCTTCCCCATCGGTTATCGGTTCTTCGAGCTATATGGCCGGCCCATTGCCACTTCAGCTTACTAATCCGTTGGGCTATGTCGGTCACTCTGGTTTTACTGCGGATATCCTCATTTCTGAGTCTATCATGCAGTGAAACTCCGAGCATAACCCTGTCCATAGCTCGCTGAGCTACCTTGAGCGTCCTCATACGGCCAGCGGTGAAGGACCACGTCTCAGATCCGTAAGTCATCACTGGCAACACGCACTGGTTATACACTTTAGTTTTCAGAGATTGAGGTATACCTGACGAGAAGATGTGTCGTAATTTCCCGAACGCTGCCCAGCCGAGTTGAATCCGTCGATAGACCTCTCGGTCGAAGTTGGACTTACCTAGTCGGACTATTTGTCCCAGGTAAACGTACTCGTCAACAACTTCGAGCATAGTGCTCCCAACAACTACCGGCATAGGTGTGACATGGACATTAAACATGATCTTTGTTTTGTCCATGTTCATCTTAAGACCTATCCGGTACTTAACTACTTTAATTTGCTAACTAACGAAAACATCTCATAGATAAGCACGATTATCGAAAATCTTAAAATTATCTATTAATTTAATTAGAATAGGTAATTTTTAGATTTTCGATAATCGTGCTTACGTATAGGAATCTCATATCCTAATATGCCTAATGTCATTGATTTATATATACACTATGTGTTGTATAACTCAATCCTTTTTTATTAATAATAATCTAAGAAGGGCAGTCGGTGATAAATAAAATTTGTTTTGTAAGTTGTTTTTTTTTAAAACACTTTAACACAACAAAAACATGAAACTGAGAAGAAGCACCCGATCTGCCGAAACAAACTCAGAGAGGTCAGTCCAGGTATTACATTGGTCATGTCATACGAGAACCAGGCTAATATGGTCCTTTGAAGAAAGAATCATACAGATGTGAGTGGACAACTTAGTACTTATTAGGATTACGTACCCGAAGAGTAGCCAGCAGGGCCCTATTACGGAGCCTCCGCTGTCCGTGTGTCTGTCCGTCAGCGCGCTGCATTTCATGTTCCGTAATAGGTAGATGGTTGTAATTTTCACAGAACGTGTATTTCTGTTGCCGCTATAACATCAAGTGGTAAAAATAAATTTGAAATTAAAGGATTTTCTACTAGAAAAAGAAACGTGTATTTTTGGCTTTTTTGGTCGATAGTAATATGTATAGGTATTTAAATCTTGTAATCTCGGAAGTCCGATTCGCACTTGGCAAAATATTTGTTTATATTTAACCTTACCTCAGACATACTCATATTTTTTATATATATAATTTACTATACTACTATATAAGCTACTACTAAATAAAATAGTAGTAGCTTTGCTATGGTATTATAGTATATTTTGGATTAGATTTAATTTATTACAGAATAATACGAACTATATAAAAACTAAGGAGCGCATCAACCTACCTTAGATATTGGGTTATGAATACAGATAAGTACACATAGGATTTAGTTTCTAAGTTGTACCTACATATTTTATAGCGTTCGTTATGAATAGCATAAACAGGCCAAGCCCCCTAGCCTACTAACGTTTCGTAACGAATCTCTTTCTACAATCGCGCCTTTTATTTGTTTGGACTGACCACCTGACTCGTTCAGTGATGCCATTCCCATACAGTGTTTAGTTTTAAACTAGCGTTATCTATTATAAAATAAATCAAAATTTTATTCATATTTCGCTAATTGTGTCTGTACTGTGAATTTGATTTACAATCGATCTCTAAATTGTAGTTTTCTTCTAATTACTTATCTTGCCTAGACGTGTTCTTTGGCCTTCTGTAAGTAAGTCTGTGCTGTTAGTATTCCGTTTATATACGTTACTATTTTGATAGACGTTTGTGCTTGTCCCTGCAGTGACACATTTCCTATTGTTGATAACTTTCTAAGTACTAAGAGAATATTTCAAACCGCTATTTAACACAAACAATCAATAAACAATTTACAAACTAACATATTTTATTTATTTAATTAATCTATATAAAAGCCCCACTCACATCAAAATCGCGCTGTCGAAAAAGCAGTTATCCTGACACTGGCTGACATATACTTCGGGGAGTTGCCTGTGGGCTATTATAGCTAACTAGCTATGGAAAGTACATACCTATTTAGAATACATAGTACCTATAGTAATATTTGCATAACCTACAGTAAAATACAAAAACATAAAGAAAACAATTATGTTACACTTTTTTGTGTTTGTTTTAGAAATTGTTATTTTTTTTTTTCAAAAAAAGTTTTTTATTTTACCGTTTTTAGATGAGAGTTATGCCCCTTTAGTGGGTACAGGCGTGATATTATATTGTGTGATTGTGTAAAGAATGCTTAGATAGGCGATAGCAGCAATCGCGGTTGATTTGCTGTCATTTATTGAAGAGTGCCCCCGATTTCTCCAAGATCCCATCATCAGATCCTGATCTGACCATCATCGATTACGTGTTTATTCAGACAAAATAATAATTTTCCAAATCGGTTCAGGCTTCAGGCATCTTCGAGAAATAGGGGGACCGAACATACATAAACAAAAACCTACGAATTGAGAACCACCTCCTTTTTTCGAAGTCGGTTAAAAAGTCGGTAAAAACAAATCAATGGAATTATTATATAATAACAACAACTACTTAAGTTCACATAAGAACTTTCATAATAACAACTAAGTACATAAATTGGGTTCATAATAATTACGTTTCACACGGCGGATCCTAAGTTATAATAACACCAATTTGTTTTCTCTCATCTTTCTCTTTTAAAATACGTTACCCCCACAGTAGGATTTTCTCCAGTATCGTAGAGGCAGTTTACAAACATAAATTGCACAAGGACAAACATCCAGACCCGGAACAAATATTTGTAGGCCATACAAATATTTGTTCCGTGCGGAATTCGAACCCGCGGTGCCCAGCGCAGCCTCATTGCTAAGCCACTGCGATACGGACATTGATACGGAGCTCAAATTGCCGTTTGTGTTTATGTTATTATTCAAAAATGAATCGCATAGGTAGGTACGCGATGACGCCGTCTCGCATTGCGTCACTCGAGTGTGTATGTGTGTGCGCACTAGCTTCTTACTGCTCATCACAGCGTCTATCCCTTTCGCACGTGATGTCGGCTGAGATAGCATGCATTTTTACCCCGCCCACCACTTAGTTCGTGCCATCGATTAGGGCAACCTTAACTGACGCACATGTTCGCTTTTTTTCCGTACGGAACAAATTCCGAACGTACGTTTTGAATGCAAGCCGGCGCGTTCGGAGAAACCTACGGGAAAAACCTAATGACGTCATGTGGAACGCAGCGCTTGCATACATTTTGTTTGTATATATTTTTACGTTGTAAATATAGAAATTTTGAAAGACGTTCGGAAATTTCTATGTAGTATCGTGCCCGCGGCGCGCGCATCGGACGTATTCTTTGTATTTGTTACGCATAGAACCGCAACACGATAATGTGTGAAGCAGAAACATTAATATTGGCTGATGAAAAATACCCCTGCCTGTGGAATATTCATGACAATGACTATCACAACAGAGATATCAAAGCACAAACTAATAAGAGTACTAACGTACAGACGACAATCTTCCATACTAAAAAATTGGTCTATAGCAAGCCTCAAAAATTGAAAGTGACATTTAGGTTTTTAAATTTATCTAAGGCAAAGGCATTTATTTATTTCAGCCTAGTAGCTAGTGGCTGTAAATAATCCTCCCAGAACTTTGAAAAATAAATTTAAACCATTATTAACGTTTATTTAGATAATAAACATTTCTGTATTTTATTTCTTTATAGGTCTTTTATTTTTAAATTTCAGTGTAAATTTATAAGTGCAAGCAAATTCTTTCCCTCTATAATTACAATCCAATTCTTTATGGAAGGAACTGATGGTTCTTTGCACATAGGTCACATATTCAATTCAATTTATGTAACAAATTTTCTCAAAATTTTCTCCTTATAGTATCTATGGTTTGTGCTTGTTGTCCCCTATATACCAAATATGCAGCAATATTCAAAGCTTAAGCTATTTAATAGCCACTGCTCCTAGGCAGTTTTTAACCTGCAACAAATATAAAATTTATTTAAAAAAAGTAATAATGAGTTGATAAACATAGTAGCATTTTATTTAACATTGTGTGAGTATTGCAAAGGTCCTTTTTAGATACAATCACTCACTAAGGGTTAATTTTTCAATGGTCACATATAAGTTATTCATAAAATAAAATCCAACATAAACAAATGAGAATTACAATTGAATTAATAAAATAGTTCAATTGTTTGACTTCACATCAGCATGTAAACAATCTACTATTGTATTCGGCAGATTAGCATTCA